AGGTTTTTTGGGGTGTAGGGATGTCAACCGCCCCCCCACCCCCAGCGTTGTGTGCCCGGGGGGTGCGGGGCACCCTGGGTGGGTGGTGGGTGCCAGCCTAGGACTTGCCCTCGGTGGGGTTGTACTCCGTCTCGCCGGCCGAGACCTGGGAGATGCGACGCGTGGAGCGCCACAGCCGCCGGTGGAACTGGCCCGGTCGCACCTGGGTGAAGGTTGGGGGGGTGGTGGTGAGGACCTACCCGATGTCACCGTCCCCATCCCGTTGCGCATCCCTTTCTGAATCCTCATCCGCTTCCTGAAGCCCATCGTCTCATCCATCTCATCCTCATCCCCTTTCTCCATCTCCATCCTCTTCTCCATCCCCATTCTCTTTCAAATCGCCATCTGCGTCTGCATCCCCATCCTCATCCCCTTCTCCATCCTCGTCCTCTTCCAGATCCTCATCCCCTTCTCCATCCCTGTCCCCTCCTCCATCCTCGTCCTCATCCCCTTTCTCCATCTCCATCCTCTTCTCCATCCCCATTCTCTTTCAAATCGCCATCTGCGTCTGCATCCCCATCCTCATCCCCTTCTCCATCCTCGTCCTCTTCCAGATCCCCATCCCCTTCTCCATCCCTGTCCCCCTCTCCATCCCTGTCCCCTTCTCCATCCTCGTCCTCTTCCAGATCCTCACCCCCCTTCTCCCTCCCCATCCCCTTCCAGATCCCCATCCCCTTCTCCATCCTCATCCCCTTCTCCATCCCCATCCCCATCCTCATACCCTCTCCATCCTCATCCCCTTCTCCATCCCCATCCCCATCCTCATACCCTCTCCATCCTCATCCCCTTCTCCATCCCCATCCCCATCCTCATACCCTCTCCATCCTCATCCCCTTCTCCATCCCCATCCCCATCCTCATACCCTCTCCATCCTCATCCCCTTCTCCATCCCCATCCCTTTCTCCATCTTCGTCCCCTTCTCCATCCCCATCCTCTTCCAGATCCTCATCCCCTTCTCCATCCCCATCCCTTTCTCCATCTTCGTCCCCTTCTCCATCCCCATCCTCTTCCAGATCCTCATCCCCTTCTCCATCCCCTTCCAAATTTGCCATCTGCCTCTGCATCCCCATCCTCATCCCGCTCTCCATCCCCATCCCCTTCCAGATCCTCATTCCTTATTACCTTCTCTGTCCCCACTTCTTATCCCCCTCCAGATCCCCATCTGCTTCTCCATCCTTATCCTTATTCCCTTCTTCACCTCCATTCCTCATCCCCTTCTCCATCTCCATCCCCTTCCGAATCCCCACCTTCTTCCCAGTTCCCCATCTCCTTCCAACTGTCCACTTGCTTCCCCATCCCCTTCCAAATCCCCATCCTCATTCCCTTCTCCATCCCTGTCCCCTTCCAAACATCCATCACCCTCAGCCCCTTCCCCATCATCATCCACATCACCTTCCAACCCCCATCCTTTTCTCCACCCACACTCATCCCCTTCCCCCTCCCCATCCCTTCTCCCATCGTCATCCCCTTCCCCATCCCTACTGTCATCCCTTTCCCAACCTCTTCCTCATCACCACCCACCCACTACCCCCTTCTCCATCTCCACCCCCTTCTTCTCCTTCCCCATCTCCACCTCCACCCCCTTCCCCTTCCCCATCTCCACCTCCACCCCCTTCCCCTTCC